CCTTTAAGAGTGGCCAGCACATGTGCTTTCACTTTCACATATGCAGAATCCTATGCATTAATGTGGACCCTGAGAAAGTGTTGGCTTTTTTTTCTGAACATTTGGACAACTTTATTGACAATGATGCAGTTTTATTCCCTTCACTTGGACATACACTGAAGGATGATTATGGTCCCTTTCGCTAAAACTTTCCGACCACAGGCTTTGCTCGTTGGAATTCCATCAGCAACAACACCTCATCTTTGGTCCCACACTTGCTGTCGTTTTTTTGGTGGATACATCTCTGGGGGAGCTTGTCCTGCGACCTTCCCTTTACCGGTGAGTCTGCTCCGTGTGCAGCGGCCCGTACTGCGACTCACGGGAGAGTTTGCCGTGTGCAGCGGTAAACCGTGTCATCTAAAATCCTTACAGTTAACCTACGCAGGCTTTTATAATCGCCATTATTGTAAAACCAGTTAATCTCGGCAACCCTAGTTAAAACTGGTCATTGTAACTGAAATACAGGCTAATGCTAACAGTATTTACTTTTCAAACTGAGCTATACAAATAAACTCGCCTTGTCTAAGAAAACGATGGAGGCCGCAGTCGTCTCAGGGAACTTTACAAAGTTGTCGATTCACCAACAACAGATCAGAAAAGCAAACAGTTTGAACACAGGAAAGGTAATAACAACAAACACATGGAGCCGTTGGTCCAGAGGGAGTGGGACGACCACTGTCCAGAAATGTCCTGGATCATCATAAAGCGTTAATCAAAAAATATCTCATCCTTTGACCTGGTGTGAGTTTTTTACATGGCCCTTATATACTTGATTACTTCTGTTAGTTACTTTTAGAGGAAGTATTTATGTGTTTGGATGTGTTTCTGCTGCTGGACACCTGCATTTCTCAGAGGCATCGAAAAAGTATTTTCAAACTACTGCTCTCTCCTAAAGTTTAAGACCCTAACTTTCTGTTTGATTTAATGAACGAGTCCAATCTCCATCGTTTTAGCCTCGACAGGTCGTGCCATTTCCTCCTGTTTTGTTTGAACTCTCTCCCACTCTGAAAGCTCTTATCTCCACACTCCTAATAAAAACCCGGGGGTCGTATATATTCCGCTGGCTCCATTGACCGTGTTAATCTGAAATTGATATTTTTACACACAAAAGATTGATGTTCCTTTGACACAAACCTATTCAGTATTCCAGACTCATGGAGAGGCGGAGGATCCACGGGCGGCCGTTTCATTTGCATCATGGGAGAATTACTGCTGCAGCTTTCAAAAGACGTGTTTCTATGCTTTCTTTCCTAATGATATAGCATTGTCACTTAGAGCCGCGGCCGTCCTCCTCAGGGGCTTTCTCTCTCCTCAACTCCTTTCATTATTCCCGCCGCTCACCTGCCACTCTGTCGTCACGGAGATGTCGAGAAAGACAGAGAGTGAGGAAGAGACAGAGACTGAGTAAGACAGAGAGAGACAGAGACAGACAGAAACAGAGTGAGAGAGAAAGCAAAAGAGAAACACAGAGTGAGACCGATAGAAAGAGAGACAAAGAGAGAGATAGTGAGAGAGACAGTGAGAGAGACAGAGACAGTGTGAGAGAGAGACAGTGAGTGAGACAGAGAGAGACATTCAGAGAGAGAGGCAGAGAGAGACATACAGAGAGAGAGACAGAGGGTGAGACAAAGAGAGAGACAGACAAAGACAGTGAGACAGACAGTGAGGGAGAGAGAGACAGACAGAGATAGAGACAGTGAGAGAGACAGAGAGAGAGACAGTGAGGGAGAGATAGACAGACAGAGAGAGAGACAGTGAGAGAGACAGTGAGAGAGACAGAGAGAGAGACATTTAGAGAGAGAGAGTGAGAGAGACAGTGAGAGAGACGGAGAGAGAGAGACAGACAGAGACAAAGACAGTGAGAGAGACCGAGAGACAGTGAGAGAGACAGAGAGACAGTGAGAGAAAGACAGAGAGAGAGAGACAGTGAGAGATAGAGAGACAGTGAGAGAAAGACAGAGAGAGAGAGAGACAGTGAGGGAGAGAGAGACAGTGAGAGAAAGACAGAGAGAGACAGTGAGAGAGACAGACAGATAGAGACAGTGAGAGAGACAGAGAGAGAGAGACAGACAGAGACAGTGAGAGAGACACAGAGAGAGAGACAGACAGATAGAGACAGTGAGAGAGACAGAGAGAGAGAGACAGACAGACAGATAGAGACAGTGAGAGAGACAGAGAGAGAGAGACAGACAGATAGAGACAGTGAGAGAGACAGAGAGAGAGAGACAGACAGAGACAGTGAGAGAGACACAGAGAGAGAGACAGACAGATAGAGACAGTGAGAGAGACAGAGAGAGAGAGACAGACAGATAGAGACAGTGAGAGAGACAGAGAGAGAGAGACAGACAGATAGAGACAGTGAGAGAGACAAAGAGAGACAGAGACCGAGAGAGACAAATGAAAGCCAAGAGAGACAGAGGAAAACAGAGAGACAGAGAAAGTGAGAGAGAGATAGAGAGAGAGTCTTTCTTAATTTTCTCTTCTAAATGAAAAACAGATTAGCGGAATCCTGAGCCTGTAAACAGCCCCGTGCAGAACATCTGTGAGCCGGTATTAAACTCTGCTATGGGAGATAATTGTGGTTTCACATTGGCCTGATGTGGCAAAGTGTGTAATTATGAGATGCACACATTCTCAAACGGAGCGGAAATGAAATAAACCCAAAGCAAAGTATTCGGCCCCCAGACCCAATGCTAATCTTGTCGAAACCATACAGTTTTTATCTTTTTCAGCTCGGTAATTTGTGCATATGTTTCCTTCTGGACTCGGCCTCCTCTATGCTTCCACGAAGAGAGACAGAGGGAGACAGAGAGAGAGACAAAGAGAGACGGAGAGAGAGAGAGAGAGAGAGAGAGACGAGGAGAGACGAAGAGAGACAGAGGGAGACAGAGAGAGACAAAGAGAGACGGAGAGAGACTGAGGGAGAGACAGAGAGAGAGAGACGGAGAGAGACTGAGGGAGAGACAGAGAGAGAGAGACGGAGAGAGACTGAGGGAGAGACAGAGAGAGAGAGACGGAGAGAGACTGAGGGAGAGACAGAGAGAGAGAGACGAAGAGAGACGAAGAGAGACTGAGAGAGACGGAGAGAGAGACTGAGAGAGACGACGAGAGAGAGATACAGATTCAGATTGAGATTCAGTTTATTTGCCATTTGCAGTAAAAAAACCACATTGGAATACATTAGCAAAAGTCTCCAGTGTGCACAGACAAATACAGACATAAAACAACATTAAAAGACAGAAATAAAACAAATAAAACAGTAAACAAATGTCACTGTGAAATCGATCGACTAAAACAGTTTCGAAACAAGTGCAAATCATTAAAGTGCTCTGTTCAAACTGATAACAGCTTGTGGATAAAAACTGTTAGCGTAACGAGATGTCCTGCATCTCAGAGAGCGATATCTTCTGCCAGAGGGAAGAAGCTGGAACATGGCTTTCCTAGGGTGGCCAGAAGAGTCATTAACAATCCTAAGAGCTTTGTTTAAAAGTCTGGATTCATAAAGAACCTCCAGAACAGGAAGCTCACAGCCCACGGTCCTCTTTGCAGAGCGGAGCACCTTGTTTAAAGCTCTCTTTTCTTTATCTGTGATGTTTCCAAACCACACAGACACAGAACCAACAAGTAAACTCTCAATGGTGCAGTGATAAAAGTTAAGCAGAATCTTAGAGTTAGTGGTAAATTCTCTAAGTTTACGCAGAAAGTAGAGACGCTGACGAGCTTTCTTAACGACTCGGTCAGTGTTTTTAACCCATTTCAGGTTAGACAGAGTTAGACCCAGAAACTTACACTCCTCTACGATCTGCACCTGGGAGTTGTCGATTACGACAGGCAAATGAGAACTATTGCGACTGAAGTCGTAGACCAGTTCACATGTTTTGGATGCGTTCAACTGGAGGTTGTTAGTTTGATTCCACTGAACCACATTTTGTATCTCTGCTCTATAAGAGGATTCATCATCAATGAGACCGATGATGGTGGTGTCATCAGCATATTTGATGATCAAGTTTGAGTCAGAGGAGGACACACAATCGTGAGTGTACAAAGTAAAGAGCAGAGGACTCGAAATACATCCCTGAGGAGATACCGCGAGAGACCGAGGGAGAGACCGACAGAGGGAGAGACAGAGAGAAACCGAGAGAGAGACAGAGGGAGAGACAGAGGAAGACTGAAGGAGATAGAGAGATTGAGGGAGACTGAGAGACCGAGAGTCCCTCTGAGAAACTGATACAAACTATCATGTTTATCTGCAGCCTTTATTAACAAAACAAAGTAAATCTCATCAAAGTGTATCATATATAACATCAGAGAAGTGCAAAGAAGTATTTATAATCTTCTAATTCTTTATTTTTTTCACACTAATTTGACCAAACAGGTGATATTGGATAATTTCTCTAGGCACACGGAATAACATCTCAAGGCACACTTATCCCCGGCCCACTGGTCGAAAAACACTGCATCAACCTGCTGTCGAGGGGAGAACCTAATTTCCCATGTTTTTTTTCTCAGGCTTCATTTTTACACATTTTTCAATATGTATTTACAGTTTTAGTAAATAAATATTGCGACAGAGCGAGAAGGATTTAATACGGATTTTAAAGTCTTGATTCTACAGCTATACAAACCGAGGAGGGCTCAGGGGCCGGATACAGACGCCCAAAGGGCCAGGGTTTGCTCTTCCGGATGTTGATGCTCTTTGTCAGCGCCAGCGATGAAGGATCTTTGATGTATTTGGGTAAAAACAAAGACATCGGCGCCGGGGAGTGTGACATCACAAGCACAACTCAATATAAAGCTTTCACATGGCATTATTCAGTCACTGCATTCTCTGTGGTGGGAACTACAGCTGTACTCAATGAGACACGCTCCACACGCTCCTCTTGTCTTCAGTGTGTGTGTGTCTGTGTGTGTGTGCGTCTGTGTGTGTCTGTGTGTGTGTGTGTGTGTGTCTTTGTTCGCTGTCAGAACACAGTCTGAGGTCTTGATGATGTGAGCGACTTTGACAGAGATCTGCATTTCCTCTTCAAACTCTCCTCCTTCTGGTCGTCTCCTAGCTCCTTGTCTCCACCTCCTTCTTCCTCGTCTCCTAGCTCCTTGCCTCCTTCTCCTTCTTCCTCGTCTAGCTCCTTGCCTTCACCTCCTTTTTCCTCATCTCCTAGCTCCTTGCCCCCGCCTCCTTTTTCCTTGTCTCCTAGCTCCTTGTCTCCACCTCCTTCTTCCTCGTCTCCTAGCTCCTTGCCTTCACCTCCTTTTTCCTCGTCTCCTAGCTCCTTGCCCCCACCTCCTTTTTCCTTGTCTCCTAGCTCCTTGCCTCCTTCTCCTTCTTCCTCGTCTAGCTCCTTGCCTGCACCTCCTTCTTCCTCGTCACCTAACTCCTACAGCATCCTTGAGGACTTATCATTCTGTGGAACATTCCATCTAAAAACCATATCATTACCATGGAAACGGGAGTGGCCACTCTTCAAACATACTAAATATTTAGGATTTCCTGCAAATCCATTTCAAACTTGATGCCCATAGCTTTTAACATCATAGTTTAAAGCAGAAGAGGAAGTGTGTGTGTGTGTGTGTGCGTGTATGTGTTTGTGTATGTATGTGTGTGTGTGTGTGTGTGTATGTGTGGGAGGTCTTAGCTTTACTGTCTTGTCCCTGTTGCTTTTTGCTTTGCTGCTATTGCTCCAAACGCTTCTATTCCCTCCCGGTGCTAATCCGTGGACCACTGTGACAAATGGCCTTAATTGGTTTGGAGGAAAAGAATATTCCGTCTGCCACATTCTCCGGGTTATTATGAGCAGGGGGCAATTATTGGTCTTAATCTGCTAATCTGCTTGCGGTCGTCAAATGGTAATATTCATGCATTTATTAGGAAAGGCGGTGATCTTGTTTGGCGCCGCGGGGGAAGGGCGGTGAAGGCGGGGAAGGTGGAGGTCCCGCGGGAAACCTCCGTGAAGCCAGAGCAGGTGTGGAGCTGGAACCTTCAAACACAAGGGAAGGACTTTTATGCTTTTAGGACAAGACATAATCTTAATCTTAATCCTTATTCCCACTGAGACTAAAGGAAGAGAAGCTCCAGAGAGAGAGGGACCATAGAGAGAGAGGGACCATGGAGAGAGAGGGACCATAGAGAGAGAGGGACCATAGAGAGAGAGGGACCATAGAGAGAGAGGGGCCAGAGAGAGAGGGGCCAGAGAGAGAGAGGGACCATAGAGAGAGACCAGCACAGAGAGAGACCAGAGAGAGAGAGAGGGACCAGAGAGAGACCAAAGCAGAGAGGGACCAGAGAGAGAGGAACCAGAGCAGAGAGGGACCAGAGAGAGAGGGACCAGAGAGAGACCAGCACAGAGAGAGACCAGAGAGAGAGAGAGAGGGACCAGAGAGAGACCAGAGCAGAGAGGGACCAGAGAGAGAGGGACCAGAGCAGAGAGGAACCAGAGAGAGAGAGGGACCAGAGAGAGAGGGACCATAGAGAGAGAGGGACCAGAGAGAGACCACCACAGAGAGAGACCAGAGAGGGAGAGAGGGACCAGAGAGAGACCAGAGCAGAGAGGGACCAGAGAGAGAGGGACCAGAGCAGAGAGGGACCAGAGAGAGAGAGGGACCAGAGAGAGAGGGACCAGAGAGAGGGGGACCAGAGAGAGAGAGGGACCAGAGAGAGAGGGACCATAGAGAGAGAGGGACCAGAGAGAGACCACCACAGAGAGAGACCAGAGAGGGAGAGAGGGACCAGAGAGAGACCAGAGCAGAGAGGGACCAGAGAGAGAGGGACCAGAGCAGAGAGGGACCAGAGAGAGAGAGGGACCAGAGAGAGAGGGACCAGAGAGAGAGAGGGACCAGAGAGAGAGGGACCAGAGAGAGGGGGACCAGAGAGAGAGAGGGACCAGAGAGAGAGAGGGACCAGAGGGAGAGGGACCAGAGAGAGAGAGGAAGAGAGAGAGAGGGACCAGAGAGAGGGGGACCAGAGAGAGGGGCCAGAGAGAGGAGGACCAGAGAGAGACCAGAGCAGAGGGGGACCAGAGAGAGGGGGACCAGAAAGAGACCAGAGCAGAGAGGGACCAGAGAAACACCAGAGATAGACCAGAGAGAGGGCAAAAAGAGAGAGCAAAGAGAGAGAGCCAGTCAAAAGAGACCAGAGAGAGACTATTGTGGTATTGCTATTAGTATTACTTTACTACTAATATAGCCACAAACACTGATACTACTTTTTCTACTGCTGATACTACTACTACTACTGCTGTAACTACTACTGCTCTCTATCACAGCTACTACTGGTAGCTAGTACTGCTACACCTGGGACTGGTTAAAGTACTACAAATGAACGCAGTATGAGATCAAATTATATCGTGAAAAGTACATTTTCTTCAATGCAGTTTTGACAGTTTCACATCTGCATGATTGGTGTCAAACTAACACAATATACAAAATCTACTTTAGTGTCAACATACACCCTCTGGTTTTGGCTGTCATTGTACTCTGATTTCTATATTGTGTTGCGTGTCACTCTCTTGTATTGTGCGGTTCTTGTGTGGGTAAGGGGTGCAATTAATACGTGTAGAGAACAATAGATCACATAATGGAACTTTGCAGATTTCTGTCAGACTGAAACTGAAGCAAAAACATCTCATTAAGAGCAAAGAGAACGCTCTGTGCAGCAGCAGCATTTCAACCCACAGAGAAGGAACTGATCTTGCTTTTGTCGACGGAAACACATACTGTATATACGCCCGAGTTCTGAGTCGAGTCTGAGGCTTTTTCATATTTAGGAGAGACTGAAATACAGACTATATCTACAACACAAGAGTTTACTCGCTTCTGTGCTTGAAATGAAACTTACTGGTTCTTAAAGGCGATTTTGTCTTTTCTTGTAAATCTTACATACGTGCTGCTCCCAGCTCATATAGAGAGATAGATAGATAGATGGATAGATAGATACTGTAGATAGATAGATAGATAGATAGATGGATAGAGAGATACTGTAGATTAGGGCTGAAACAACTAATCGATTAATCGACGACTAATCGATTATTGAAATAGTCGACAACTATTTTAGTAATCGATTAATCGTTTTCTGGTTCACACGGACTCAAACAGAGCAAAAATGACATAAAAATGTAGTATTTTTGATTAAAACCGACTTTGTTTTTATAATTTCATGAATATCTGTCTGTCTCATCCAATCAGAGCAGAATTAGCACAAAGAGCCTTTTACAAACATTTACTTTAAGTTTACGCCATCAATACGTCCTCGAGTGTTGCCACTTTAGCTTTTTGTGATGAAAAAATATTTTTTTTCTACACAATTCACAGCCAAGCGATTACTCTGTTAATCGTAAAAATAATTGATAGATTAATTGATTACAAAATAATTGTTAGTTGCAGCTCTACTGTAGATAGATAGATAGATGGGTGGGTGGGTGGGTATATAGATAGATAGATAGATGGATAGAAAGACTTTATTGATCCCTGGAGGAGAAATGCAGGTGTCCAGTAGCAGCAAAAAGATAAAATGGATCATTCTAAAAAGCTAACAATAATTAGCAACAGTCCTTCAGGTCGCAGCAGCCGAGGTGGAGTAGCCGCTTGGTTCTGTCCGTTTTTTCTGCTCTAGTCCAAAGTATAACGCTGAATGCTTTGTTAGCATTTTTCAAAAAGTTAGCATTCCTCCAATGGATTTTCACCTGATCTGCTTGTTTCGGACCATGAATCCTCTCTGCTCTGGTCTGACCCAGTGTAAAACCATGAACACTGTACTGCAGCAACATCGCAGATAAAAAAAGGCAAGAAAAATAAAAATGTTCATATGTCAGGTTGGAATACTTCAAATATGGAAAGTTAAGACCAAAGGGTTTGCGGTCCTTGGGGTTGTTTTGGGTGAAGTTTGGATGGAAAAGAGCAACATAGAAAGACAAAAGCTCTGTTTCCACTAACTCTGCTCTACTGTACTCGACTCGCTTTGTATTTGCAGCTAAACAGAACTGGATTTAACCTGGATTTAAACTTTTTCAGAGAAAAAGCCTGTTTCACATTTTCAGGAAGACTGTTCCAGGTTTTAGTTGCATAAATCTGCCTTATGTAAACGAATGACCTACTGTCACAGACACATTACACGCAGTGAAATAAAAAAAACTCCGTCTCATCATCTCTGGATTTTCTTCTGTCATTATTTGTGGTGTGACGTCTGCCTTAAAACAAGATTTAGAACAAATGCACTTGATTGAAGAGTTTTGTGTCTTAAATAAGATCAGTTTTTGCAGTGTCCATAGCAACCACAAAGAAAAAAGGCGTCATTGAGCTCATTTCATTTGATTTAAGAAAGTTTTAAGTGTCAGATAACCACTTTTCTTCTGCGCTAATTTGTCTGAAGTTGATTATATGTTAATTCCATTTCAGCAGGTTCTTGTTGGCAGGAAATTCATCTGGCCTTGGTCTTTGGTCCTGGTCTTTGGTCTTGGTCTTTGGTCCGGGTCGACAGTAGATCCAGAAGCTGATCCAGAACGGCTTCTGGGCGGCACGGTGACTGAGTGGATAGCTCTCTCGCTTCTCAGCAAGAAGGTTCTGGGTTCGAGTCTCGGTCGGAACAGGGTCTTTCTGAGTGGAGTTTGCAAGTTCCCCCCCTGTCTGCGTAGGTTTTCCTTTGGGTACTCCGGTTTCCCCCACCACTAAAAACACGTACAATAGTTCAGTGTGAATGAGTGTTTGTGAGTGCAAATGTGGGACAACAGATCCAAATTAGTGATGTGTTCTTTAACATGTACTGTCCCAACCAAATAAACTATAAATTACTAAATAGAAGCCGATCCAGAAGCCGATATAAAAACAGTTCCAGAATCCCTCCTGATCCCAGCTCGGCCCTTCCCCTGGGATGCAGTCCTCTGCTCTCCGCCTCTGATGTGTTTTTCTCTCTCTGCTTCAGCCTTTGTCGCCCGCTGTTTGTGCTTACCTCAAAACTCCATTAAAGAAAGGATTGGGAAGCAGAAAATGACTTGTGCCATGAGCCTCCAGACCTCCCCCTCCCCAGACGCTTCCCCCTCTTCAGTCATCATCCGCAGACTCTATTTCCAACTGTGGGTTATTTGGAAATTTGAGAATGATTGCTTAATCCGGAAGCACGGCGCGGAGGACGGAGTGCAAACAGGGAAATAGAACGGCAGAGGTCAAAATGTTACTGACGAGAGGTTCCAGGTTCAGGTAGAGACTATTAATACAACACACAGAAAAAACAAAAACAAAAAACCTTTGGTCAATTGTTTCTTGGATTAGATTCATGATTCAATGATTTATAGAATAGTCTAACAGTGGTGATGATCCAGGACTCTCCCCATTCAACAACATTTATGAACATCTGCCTCTGATGGACCGAGATGAACTTGGGAAACTGACATGTTTTGACTGAGATATTGAGATATACCAGATATTCTACTCCAAACATAAAACACAATTCATGATAATAAAAAAATGGGTCTGAATCAATCAATAACAAGATTTTGTTACTTTTGTTCCAGTTTTGGTTCGGTCCAGGCATGAATGTCCTGAAAGTTTTAACTTTAGCATTGAGATCATATATTGTAATCTACGGTACTACAGTAGCTTCGAAGGACAATAAGTCGTCTTTGACAGTGGTCCCCAACTCTCGGGCAACCTCATTTTTGTCCCTTATCAACCAAGATGGCGCAGTAACATGGAGAGTCCTCCAGCCCCATGGACATTTAAGTCAAATGACAACAAAACATGGTACAGGTAAATATTCTTAAAAAGGTCACATTTGTTATTAGTTAACATGTTTTTTCATTTTGAGCAACTGTAAAATTTACACAGAGTACCTTTCAAAACTTTGAAATCTTGTTATTTCCATCCATCCCAGACTCTGAGGAGCACATGGCGGCACGGTGGCTGAGTGGATAGCACTCTCGCCTCTCAGCAAGAAGGTCCTGGGATCTAATCCCGGTCGGACCAGGGCCTTTCTGAGTGGAGTTTGCATGTTCTCCCCGTGTCTGCGTAGGTTTCCTCCGGGTACTCCGGTTTCCCCTACCACTAAAAATATGTACAATAGGTCTGGCATGCGCCTCCTGTACTAGCGACGCCGCTCCCATCTCTGTGTGGAGTGAGAGACAAATGCCCAAAAATAACAATTGTAAACCGCTTTGAGACTCAGATTTGCAGTGAAAAGTCGGTATATAAATAAATAAATAAAGATTACTTACACAGGGATGGGCCCAGAGTCAGAACTAAACATGGGGATTCATGCTGCTAAAATCTGGAACAATCTTCCTGATGTGAGACAGGCCTCCTCTCTGACAATGTTTAAAACAGTTCTGTTTAGCTGTGCATACAACTGAGGGATTTTATATTTTTATTTTTAATGTACTGTGATTTATGATATCTTATTTTGTTCAGCACTTTGAATTGCCTTGTGTATGAATTGTGCTATACAAATAACCTTGCCTTGCCTTGCCATCCATCCATCGATTTTCTTCCCCTTAATCCATTTCTGGGCAGTTGGCAGTCAGTGATGCCACCCAAGTCTCATAGCACCAGCCCCTCACTGATCCTCTGCAGGTGGTGAGTCCACAGGAGGACGGCTGCTCTGTCTGTGAGAGCATAGCCTTGATCTTTCAGTGGGAGCTTCAGGCAAAGTGGGGTTAAGTGTATTGCCCAAGGACACAACGACAGCAGACATCAGTGGGAGTCGGTGGAGAAGGTTTCACGGTGGGCTCGAACCCACGACCTTCAGGCTCACAGGCCAATGCTCTACCAACTGAGCCACTGTCGCCCCCAATTATTTCTCTTTGATTCCTTGAATATAATAAAGAGATGAGTTAAAAGGTATTTGTCAGGATACTAAAGACATTGTTGTGTTTTGTAGTCTTCATCTGAAGTCGATCTTATCTTACCCACAGTCCTTGGATCACACAGGGTCACCTCGTCTTATGCACACGCTAAGACAACGCCGTGGAAACACACAAACGCATCTTTTATTACATGTAAAAAAGAAAAAGAAAATCTATCATAAAAAATAACATAAATGTTGACTTTCTTCAGACGTCCAAGTTTACAATTGTCTGAACATAGACTTTGCTAATCAGGTCTCTCCTTTCTCATTCCTTTGATGTTTAACTTCCGAGATAAATAGAAATGTTCAGATTTTCATGACAAAGCAACACTATACAGTATTATATTAAACATCTTTACTATGCTAAAGCACTCAGAAAGGCTCTGTCCTGTCTGGGATTCGAACCCAGGAGCTTCTTGCTGAGAAACTAGCATGCTAATGACCACCAGGCTAATAAGTTCTCTCCTTTCTCATTCCTTTGATGTTTAACTTCCGAGATAAATAGAAATGTCCAGATTTTCATGACAAAGCAACACTATGATATACTGTTTAATGAATTTGAAATTGAATCAGTTTTTTTTCTGCTGTCGTTGCATGAAAAGAACTTGCTAATGAGGAAGTCGGGGGAGAAACGTCGCTTTCATTTGTATCAGAAAGAACACGGAATCCTCAAAAAAAAAACAAAAAAACGAGAAGACGCCGCCGCCGCTAAAGGTAGCATTGTTCTGTGTGAAGTTAGAGGTGGGAGAAAGTAGCTGGCGCTTGGTGAATTTCAATGAGCCGTAATCAGGAGCTCATCCCGAATGCAGCAGAGACAGGTCTAAAAGCAGACAGTGTTTCTCCAGAATCGCCAATTAGTGCCACGTTGTTCCACGATGTCACGTTAGTTTATTAGTCAGAGCAACGTTTGGAAAAGACAACCCCGGACCAAAAACAGTGCTGGTCAAGGTCCTCATCACAAAGGCTGAGGTGCATTCAGGGGTCAAACATAAAGGTGGGAATAATAAGTGTAATGATGTGGAATATACATTTGTCATGCTAAAGCAACAGATTTTATACTAGCTTCATTCATTCATGTTCATCCCTTTATTATCCATTTCTGGGTCAGGGGGGTGCCATCAAAGCTGCCACCCAATTCACAAAGCACCAATCCCCCGATCTTCCTGCAGGTGGTGGGTGCACAGGAAGATGATTGCCCCTTTCGGCGGCACGGTGGCTGAGTGGATAGCACTCTTGCCTCTCAGCAAAAAGGTCCTGGGTTCGAATCCCGGCCGGACCAGGGCCTTTCTGAGTGGAGTTTGCATGTTCTCCCCGTGTCTGCGTAGGTTTCCTCCGGGTACTCCGGTTTCCCCTACCACTAAAAATATGTACAATATGTCTGGCATGCGCCTCCTGTTCGGCGACCCCACTCCCATCTCTGTGTGGAGTGAGAGGACAAGTGCCCAAAAAATAACAATTGTAAACCGCTTTGTGACTCTGGTCTGTGAAAGGCGGTATATAAATAAAGCTTACTTACTTACTTACTTACCCTTCAACACAGATACAGCCTTGATCTTTCAGCGGGGACTTCAGGCAAAGTGGGGTTAAGTGTCTTGCCCAGGGACACAACAAAAGCAGACTTCAGCGGGAGCAGATGACCATTATGTCCAAAGACCGATGTTCTACCAACTGGGCCACTGGCTTCTTTACAATGCTAATGCTAGAGATTTTAGACTAGCTTCTTCACAACGCTAAAGCGCTCAGAAAGGCACTGTCCTGACTGGGATTCGAATCCAGGAGCTTTTTTCTGATAAACTAGCATGCTATTGACAACCTGGCCGCCCTCATACTTTAGTATATTTTTTACCCGTGTAAATTGTTTAAAAAGTTACTAACTATGGGTTTGGTTTGGTTTAGAAATCGTCCCTCAGATCTCGGCAGGAACAGGACTGGCACCAGACTCGTTGCGTTCATCAGTTGGGTTGGCGTTCTAGTGTTTTGTTGACGGAATGCATGAGGAGTTGATTTAAGACGCATTTGGGTGAAGTAGTTTCAAAGCAAGAAGCAATTGTCTCCAATCAGATCAATGCCATGTTGTTCAGCCGCTTCAAGTGCTTTGTTTATGAAAATCTGAGTGCGACGGCATCGGTAGGAATCCCATGTTCTGAACAAATGCAGGTTTCTTCTTCAGACTGCGGTGGTCATTATATATTTATTATATATTATTGGCCTGATAGAAGGAATACTTGAATCTCCCTCGTCTCATTTCTCCACATGCTTGAGATATCCTTCCACTGCATTCGCCGAGTCTTTCTCCCATTGCTACAAATTGGATGTGACACAGACATTTTGGCACAAAGACAAAATAAAGGACACACATTCTGCCTACATTAATATGAAGAGATCCTTTTATCGTCCCAGTGTGGGGAAATGTCAGTGTTGCAGCATCAGTTACATGAGGAGCACACAGCAAACTCTGTTCTGAATAACTCTAGACTAAACTCTCTACTGAAAAAGGACGCAATCTGTACCCCGACTTTAGCATCATGAAGAAGCAAGAATTAAGAATAAAATCTCTGACTTTTGTAAGATATAGAAGTATAAAAATGTCTTCCTTTGGCATAATAAAGAATTGTATATATATATATATTAAAAAAAAGAATGGTTAGGGTTAGTATTTATCGTCTGCAGGATGACAGGGGCCCATTACCAACAGCTCACATAGAATAAATGAAGCTGGATCTAGATCTTCCGGCTCCGGGCTTGACACTCATGCAGTAACGTTTGTGTAACTTTAGCGTCTTGTGCTTTTGATCGCAGCAGGACCATCTCCAGAGCTGAGGGAGGGGCAGGTTAAGCTACACTTTACCGATCAGTAAATGTGTCCTCTGCATTTGACCCATCCTGTACTGCACTGGGGCCTCTATCAGGAGCAGTGATCACTACGGTCCAGCGGAGGACCCAGATGGTGGTGCTCTTGGTCAGGGCCAGGGCTGGAGGATTTTCTTGTTGTTTCAATGATGGCGTCGCACAGATACCATCTCCTCAAAGCGAACAGTAAAAACGCTGATTTTGATTTCACATTTGAATGACCTAAAACACATGTTTATGTAAATATTGGGCATTGAGCTGTTCTGCACTGCTCCACTGGTAGAGCTGCTGAAGTTAGCTTTGGGTTTGCAGCGCATTAGATTCCGCAAACCGGTCTGACGAGTTTTGGTCTCGTCTCTGTTT